TGTTCATGGCATCAGTGTCCCCCCACAGTTACCCAGCTTGGACTACTATGTCTTCAATTATTCCTTTTTCCACAAACACCCACTTTTGTCTAGGTGTCACATCTAGCAGCGGTTGGCTACCTGCTGGTGATTCTCACCTCCTTGCCAGACCTCCAAACACATCTTGCACCTTCCTCTCTTCCCCAGACACTGTTCATCTTCCTTCATCTCCCTGAAACGCAGACCCAGGGATGTTACTACTTAGCTCAAGAATCTCTAATATTAGGCTCTGGCAAAGGTTCTCCGCTTGACCAAACTTTAATCAGACTCCCCTATGCCCTCTTTGTAACGAGGCTTCAACCTTAGGTTTTGGTGTCTGTTGGGACTGCATAGCCCACTTTCAGCAAGAATCCTAAGTCAGTTTAGAAAGGCTCCCCCACGGGGCACCTGGGTGGCTCAGTGGGTTAAAGCCTCTGCCTTCGGGATCATGATCCCAGGGTTCTGGGATCGAGTCCCGCATTGGGCTCTCTGCTCCGCAAGCAGCCTGTTTCCTCCTCTCTGCCTACTTGTGATCTCTGTCAGATAAATAAATAAAATCTTTAAAAGAAAGAAAAAAAAAAGAAAGGCTCCCCCACCCTTAATATATGATTACCCTTAATATCTAATCAAATTCATCACCTACCACTGTCCCCTGGTGATACCTGGTCATCCTGGCCTGCCTTCAGAAGAATCCTGTTGTTTTAGCTAGAATCCTGCCCCTCACCCTTACCTTTGATGCTTCCACTTAGTTCAGTGTTCACGGACACTTCCCAGCCCCCATGGCTATAATTTCCCCTGGTCCATGTTGTATTTGGAATTGAGTTCAGTTCCATACAGAGGTCTCTTTTCCCTTATCGCAATAGTTCCAGAATAAAATCTGTTCTTAACTATCGTCTAGCTCTTGTTTCTCTTTGCTAGATCATACAACTTGATTCGGGTCTCTTAGCTTAACCTTTCAAGAGGGAACATCTGAATGGTTCATTAGCCTAGAAAAGGGTTCTCTTTGGGGAGGGAGAGAGGAGATGGCAGGTTGGCACATATCATAAAACAAGCTGATGGATTTCTGGATGAAGCAAATTCTCTAAGAAGGGATGAAAAAAGATCATGACTGGTCTTTGTGTTTCAATAAATGTACACTGCATGTTAAAAAAGTTCACTGAAGGAGCGCCTGGGTGGCTCAGTGGGTTAAGGCCTCTGCCTTCGGCTCGGGTCATGATCCCAGGGTCCTGGGATCCAGTCCAGCATCGGGCTCTCTGCTCAGCAGGGAGCCTGCTTCCCTTCCTCTCTCTCTGCCTGCCTCTCTGCCTGCTTGTGATCTCTGTCTGTCAAATAAATAAATGAAAGCTTAAAAAAAAAAAAAAGTTCACTGAAGGGCACCTGGGTGGCTCAGTGGGTTAAGCCTCTGCCTTCGGCTCAGGTCATGATCTCAGAGTTCTGGGATCGAGTCCCGCATCGGCTCTCTGCTCAGCAGGGAGCCTGCTTCCTCCTCTCTCTCTCTCTCTCTCTCTCTCTCCTCTCTCTCTCTCTCTGTGCCTAGTTGTGATCTCTCTCTGTCAAATAAATAAATTCTTTAAAAAAAAAAGTTCACTGAACATTCATTCATTAGATAAATGGATTATAAGCACAGGAAACTGTTATTTCTGTAATAGTCCACTTAATGGGAGAAATAATCTAATAATCTAGTTGAAGCAAACAATGTTATATTAAAATGAGGTGTCTCTGTATGGAGAGTTTCTCAGGAAATAAAATGAGAACATTGTTTATGGAACCAAAAATGTAGGGTCTCAGAGACTTTTTACCACTAACTCATAGAGTTGAGGAATTAGCCAGTTTTTAAAATTCATTCATGAATTTGTTTATTTTTTTCAATTTGTTTATTATTTTTTCATTTGTTTATTTATTCAATAAATGGATAATAGTCCCATTATTCAATAATGGGACTACATGTTTCTAGAACCCAGACCCAGGAAACATACCCCGCCCAGGGCAGCCTGGTACACTTCGTTTACACCCCTTCAGATCCCAATGTTATACGTTCAGAAGAGGCCTCTCTGCTCTTCAGTTGTGTATACAAAACTCCTGCGCCTGATCATCTGCTAACTCCTCCACCTGGACATCTACAGGCCCTTCGAGCTTCATATATCCAAAACCAAACTCCCTGTCTTCTTGCCCAAATACCTTCCCCAGACTGTTCCATTCCTCTGGTTGGTCATCCCACAAATCCTGGCTCCTCTTTCTTTCATACCGCACATACAACAAAGCTCACTGGCTCCACCTTCCAGAAATATCTAGACTCTGCTGTCTTCTCACCATCTGCAGTCTAAACCATCATCAACTCTCAACTGCCTTATTTTATTAGCCTCCCAACTGACATCCTTGCCTTTTAAGACTAAAGGCAGATTAAGGCAGCGTTCTGCCTTCAAATTCCTCCACTGGCTTCCCATCTCACTTAAAGGAAAAGCAAAAGTCCTTACCATGACCTCAGGGCTTAACATGGTCCGTCTGGTGACCCTTCTTCCTCATCTCTCTGTATTCCTTGCTCACTCTGCTCCAGCCACACCAGCTGCTTTGCCAGCCCTAGAAAACCACACTCACCTCAGGGCCTTAGCACTTGCTGTTCCTTTCCAGGAAAGGAGATCTTCCATATTTCTACATGGTTTGCTCCCTGCTCTCCTCCTTTGCTCAGATGTCACCTTCCCCGTGGGGCCTTTCCTCGGGCTGCTTTCTTTGCAAGCAGATGCTGAGACAGAGATTGGTGTGCAGCATATTTATTAAGCATTCATAGCTGTGAAGAGAGGCAGATGTAACAGGATTAGGCAGGAGAAGAAGTCAGCTGAAATAGAGGCCTGACAAAACCTTATCCAACCTGGGAGAGAGCTCTATCAGTGTGTTCTGCACCAGACCAACATGGCCAGGCCTTTATAGCCCTTTCTCTTTTAGTTACTGAATTTTGTCTGTGCCATGAAGGGCATGGCCAAGTCATGGTGGCTCCCTTCTTCTGAAGCAGACCCTGAGGGAGCTGCAGGCCAAGAGTGTTTGCTGACTGCCTCCCTTCTATGAAGGCAATCTGTGTAGTGTGTCTTGAAATCTTCAACACCACCCTGTTTAGAATTGTAATACCCTTAATCGTCCTTATCACCCTTCACTGTTTTATTTTTTCACAGCACTTAACACCTTTTAATATACTATGTAACTTATTTATTTTATTATCTGGTTCTTTCACTGGAGTATACATTCTAATGGACAAGTGATTTTTGTGTCTTTGGAGCACAGTTGCATGCAGAATGGTGCCTGGCTCATAGCAGGCACTCAATAGATATGTGTTGTTTGAAAATGTCGTTTAGTAGCCTGTCTAATCATCATACTGTAAAAGCCTTGCAAGAACCATGTCTTATTCATCTTGCCAGCATATGGTCCTTAGTAGGTGTATAATACAGGTTTGTTGAATAAATGAATAAATCCACGAATGACTATTTTGTGAAACACATGTGTAATTTAAAATTCATTAGCTATATTAAAAAATAATGAGAAACAGATAACATTAATTTTTAAAATACCTAACTCAGTATATCTAAATTTTATCATTTCAACATGTAAGTGGTATGAAAATTATTAATGAAATATCTTTTTGTTTTGTTTCATACTGAGTCTTTAAAATTCAGTGTGTATTTTGCCCCCATACCATAACTCAATTTGGACTAGTCACATTTTAAGTGCTGGATAGCCCTGTGTATCATACGACTGTATTGGAATTCTGCAATTCATTAGTCAGAATAATACAATGTTGGGGGGAGTGTGGGTTGGAGAGGGGAGGTCTCCAGAGTCAATGATTTTCTGGGTCCCTATCATGACCCTTTAACTTAGCTACTGATGTACTCCAGCCAAAAGCTACTGGAAACACATTCATAGTTGAACATGATGGGTTGGTTGCTAATTGGCACAAGGCATATGATGGGAACTATGGGGGCATTGGTGAATGAAAGAACTTATTGTGGGACTTAGGTTTGTATTAGGTGATTTCAGGGAGGGTTTAAGGAAGAAGGGTTTTCCTCTGGACTGGGCTGGATGCTGTTAGGAAACGGGGATAATTCTATGACTGGAGGTTTTAATTTGGTCTAGAGGGAGGAAGACTAGGCAGAAGCTAAATCTGTAATTGGTAAAGAAAAAGGAGTCGCTTTTATTGACCAGAATAGAGGGATATTTGTTCATTTTCATGGCTTGAACAATTTCATGTTTTGCTGTGTTTATATATGATTATAGAGTGGCATTGTCTAATGTTTATGTTCCGCAAGAACCAGCTGTGAGCACCAGGCCAGCTTCCAGCAATGCAGACGCCTGGCTCAGAGTACCAAGCCAGCTCCTGGAGTTCTAGAGCTAGCAACTTTTCTCTTTCTAATAGCTGTGCGACTTTAATCAAGTAATTTAACTTCTCCATGGTCCAGTTTTCTTGTCTCTAAAATGAGAATACAAAAACACTCACCTCTCAATCTCTTAAAGTTTATTAGCAGCATTAAGTAAGACAATCCGTGTAAAGAAACTGGAATAGTGCCTGGTATATAGTCACCACTCAATGAGTGTCACTGTCATTCAAGGAATCTAAACTGCCCTATATTTTTTCACAATTCCAGTATCTTGGGACGTCTTCCAAACAATGGCTTCTTAGAATAAACACAAAGTGGTATTATTTCCAGAAGGCTCTGGTTTGGGAGACAATTCCTCATCCCCTCCAACTGCTCAATCCATTCCTGGGTAAATGCCTTCACTTTTCAACCTTTATCACTTTCCGCGACCGCGGCAGGCGCGGTGTGGGGCGCTCCGCCGGCCTTCGGAGTTTTGGGCTGCGCGGCTTCCCCAGGCAATACGGGCCGGGGCGGCAGCACTCGGGAGCTTACGGCGGCGCAGCGCCTACGCGGCCCCGGGAGCCGGAGCAGAACCCGCGCGTCCCCGCCCGCCCGGCCGTCAGCTGATGGGCCGCCCGCCGGGAAGGCCGCCGCCGCCGCCGCCGTGCGAACATGGCGGCCGAGATCCACTCCAGGCCGCAGAGCAGCCGTCCGGTGCTGCTGAGCAAGATCGAGGGGCACCAGGACGCCGTCACGGCCGCGCTGCTCATCCCCAAGGAGGACGGCGTCATCACCGCCAGCGAGGACAGGTAGGGCCGGCGGGTGGTGCGCCGGCCGAGACGCGATCCGGGCGGCCCGTACTCCCGCAGGCGACGGGGTGTGGGGGCAGTAGGGTCGGCGGTCTCCGTCTCCGCGTGGGGGCGTCCTCGACCCCCGGGATTGCGCCGCGCTCCTCCAGTCCTGGATCTTCACCCTTTAGCTCGAGACCCTAGTCCCACCGCGCTCCTCCGGACCGCCCCGCGGTCCTACTGCGTCCTTCCAGCCCAGGACCCCATCCCAGTGCGCCCCTTCAGTCGGGAACCCCCCCCCCCCCCCCCTAGCCCGGGACCCCGGACCCGCCCCTCCAGCCCGGGACCCTCGTCCCTTTGAGCCCCTCTAGTCAGTGACCCCCCCCCACCGCGCCTGTCTGGCTCGGGATCCTCACCCTTTCCAGCCTAGCAACCCCGTCCCACCGCGCCCCTTCCAGCGCGGGACTCCCGCTCCTGCTCTCCTTTGTGGGGTTTTGCTTGCTCCTCGAAAGCGTCGCGACCTCTATGGGGTGGGGTGGGGGGGTTGCTTGGACCTCGGCGGTCCGTTCCAAGCCTTGGAGCCTGGAGCACTGGCGGTAGTGCCAGGGATTCCCTGCTCTCAGCAGAACTCCGGGGCTTTCACTTTCTTACTTCTCTACTCTGGGGTTGACAACTCTTTTCGCACAGCACCAGCTCCCTAGACCAGTTATTTTATTTATTTATTTATTTAATTTATTATTTTTTTTTACAGCTGCTATTACCATCTGAACTCTTATTTACTACATAGTTTTTTGGGTGTTTGTTTTGTTTTGTAAAAGAGATTTATCTTTGAAAAGGTTAGATGCTTTTATTTCAAGGAAAAATTTATTTTCCACCGTTAATGGAAAACCAGTATCACTTGCCATAAAGAATTAAACTCATAGCTAAAGCATGTCTCTATGCACCTAAAGTCACTTCTTTCCAGCTCATTGGTCGGCCCAGGGCTGTGTGATTGGATTGAAGACATATTATTTGTATTAAAACTTTAGTGTTTTTAAAACCTTAAGTGTTTAAAAGGTTTGTGGCTTTACGATGGGTATTTGGAGGAAATGACTGATGTTTGTAGAGTGAAATTGTGTTTCCTTGCTAAAAGGAGTGCTCTTAAATGGTGATATTTCAAAAGACATAAAGGCCTTCTGGAAGATGGGAGGTACTTGTTGTCCCCTTAGAGCTGACAGCATAGTCCAGCCCTCCGCAGTCATAGCTTTTGAAGTACTGTTGAGAGGCCTGTCCTGATTGGGAACAGAAAACCTGAAGCCTCCAGTGCCTACTTGACCTTTGTATTTTGCTTTTTGAGGCCTTTTATTGTAAGCAGGCAGTAGTCTCTCCAGTTCATTTGCATGTAGCTAACTTCAAAGAAGGTGGGGAGCAGTTGGAAAGACCTGGGTGTTGGTGTGCAGAAACTGTAAGAGAAAGGAAGAAGGGGGTGGGAGCATGAGCCAGAGGGAGAAGAAGGGAATGTGGGGGGAAAAAAAGAGGCAAAGGACATAATAATGATATTTGCATGATATGAACTTAGATGCAGACATTTTATAAAACTTAGCTATCTTATTCAGTAAAATGTCTTATCCGTGACTCATGCATGTTGGATAAATTGCTGAATATTTGAGATTACTGGCTAGGAGCAGTGCTGATAAATGTTTTATGGAAAGTGATTACTTAGCTGCTCTGGGACTGAAATGTTCTGGGGGAGCCTTAGATCAGCTCATTTTTTCACTGGGGCACAGCAGGGCCCTTGCTGATGACTGGACCAGATAATGCTTGGAGTCTTGTGTTTCTAATTTGTGTTTCAGGCCCCCTGGAGCTTCCTTGAAGGTAGGACATTTTGGAGCAGGTGCCTTGCTTTATCAAATTTATGAAAGCACTTGGTTATGGGTTTTTGTTGTTGTTGGATGTGCTGCTGCGTCTTTACATAGTCATATATGTGTGTCATCCTCTTCAATCATTCATTCATTTATACATTCATATATTCATTGATTCATAGATTTAGAAATACTGTACCTATTGAGTCCAGGCTCGGGCAGTAGAGCAGGGATCAAAAGTCACAGCACCTGCCCTCCTGACTTCTGATTCATTGATTTTTATGGCCCTTGACCTGATGGAACCAGCATCTAGGGAAACAGAATACTGACCACCCTTATTCATCAAACAAGCATTTATTAGACATTGGGCTGGATCTGTGGGGTAGAACGACAGTGATGCCAAAATCTCTGTTTCCAAAGAGCTGGACAGACCGGTGAGGAGGTGGCTCTGTGCTCTCAGCTTTCAGGGTGTTGGGGAGACACAGAGGAAAGAGTGTCCTTGAGGGCCAGGGTTCAAGGAAAGCCTCAGGAGATGTCATTGGATAGAGGAGGGGGCTGTGTGAAGGAAGAGGGTGCACAGCCCTGCACCAGGCAGATGGAAAGAACAGGACGCGATGAAGGACCACCGTTACATCTAGGTGACCAGAGCAAAAGGTATATGAGTAACCATGGCAGGGGAGAGTCCTGAGAGCTGGAGGGCCTAGTGTCCAGTTTTGGAAGGGCCTTCCTTGTGCACCACTCTTAGGAATTGGACTTCAGTTTGCTGGTAGTGAGGAACCATGAGATTGCAAAGCAGGTGATGTGATCAGAATTTATACTTTGGAAATAACAATGGCTAATCTTTTAACCTTTTCAGTAGCTCCAAAATTCAGTGTATTCTAAAAGTCACAGGTGGGTTAGTTTGTTTGTTTGTAAACTGGGCCTGAAAACTCACTGGTGCAAAAACTTGGCCTGAAGAAACGAGACTGTACTCTTTATTTATCCCGTGCTGTGTGAGTGCTCATGCGTTTTCCTGCAGAAGCAGCCGTGCATGTAACCTCAGGGGCTGTCCCCAGGCCCTGCTGGGGGTGTTTGGAACAGACGTTGGGTTTATGCATCCCACTGCGGTGGGCCTTTAACGTTTAGGAAATGGAGGCATAAAGGATCCTGAAGTCACTCCCCAAGGCCTTGTAGCTAGTAAGTGATTGGATGAAGATTTGAACCCAGGTCTGATTGGGAGGCTCTGGTTCTTTCTGCCATCATCCAGCTGCGTGTTTGGGCAAAGTGAATCCAGGCAGTATCCGTCACTGATCGACTGTTCCAGCAGCAAGTGTAAAATGCTAGGATTCTACCTTTTGCTATGATTCAATTATCCTTCCTTCTTTTAGTTTTTTGTTTTTTTTTTAAACAAAGCTTACACCTTTTCTGTATAACTTCTGCTTTAATGCTCAGAACACTAACTCTTAACATTTAAAGTAGGTTCCAGCTAAAGTTAATTCGTTTTATAAATGCTAAAAGCAGCGGGAACTGGCTTGAGAGCATTTTGAGAGGAAAAGTGAAAGATGTGAGGGTCGCCTGAAGTTAGTGTCCAGTTTTCTAAACTAGGCCAGTGGTCCTCAGAGAGGGTGGTTTGGGCCCACAGGGCACTTTGGCAGGGTCTGGAGACATTTTGGTTGTTGCAGCTGGAGGAGGGTATTGCTGGCTTCTAGTGGGTAGAGGCCAGAGATGGGGCACAACATCCTGTAAAGTGCAGGACACCAAGTACCTCACGAAAAGAATTACCAGCCCCAGATGTCAGTGGCGCCGTGTTTGAGATACCCTGGGTTAGGCTTCGTGTAATTATCTGGTCTGTCTCGCCAGTGGTTCTCAAACTTGAGCCTGTATCAGATTCTGACACTGAGGCTGGGGTGGGGCCTGAGAGTTTGCCGTTCTTCCAAGTTCCCAGTGATGTTGATGCTGATGCTGCTGGTCCAGGAACCCCACTTTGAGAACCACTTTGTATCAGAGTTACTTGTCATGGTGCTTGCCTGCGTAGGCCCACTGGGGGTGAACACTGTATACTTTGCCTTCTTTTCTGTCAGTTTCTGGGATATATTTATCTGGAGTCATTTCCATGTACCCATCGATTTCCCATTAAAACCAAACTGTGGGGGAACCTGGGTGCCTCAGGGGGTTAGGCCTCTGCCTTTGGCTCAGGTCATGATCCCAGGGTCCTGGGATACAGCCCCGAATCGAATCGGGCTCTCTGCTCAGCAGGGAGCCTGCTTCCCCCTCTCTCTGCCTGCCTCTCTGCCTACTTGTGATCTCTGTCTGTCAAATAAATAAAATCTTCTAAAAAAATAAAAAAAATAAAACTAACCTGTGTACAACAAATCTGAAAACACACAATCCCCTCAAAGAGTGTTAAACCCATGTGGAACACTGAGCCTAATTCCATTGCACCTGGAGTCACTGGAAATGGTTTGGCCTGTTGCGCTTAGGGGTCTGATCCGAAATGTTGGAGTTCCTGTACCACAAAGGGTTAACAAAAAATGGGAACTCCTCTCTTGTGTGCATTCATGTAGATTTTGTTAGAGTCATAATTACCCCAAACTCCTTTGTCACACTAGACCTGAATTTGTGTTTTTAACTTTAGTTTGCAGTTGCCTGAACTTGGGAACTGCTGTTTTTCTGCTTGCCAAGTACGCTACGTTTGTAAAGCTTAAAAAAAAAAAAAAAAATTCTTGAATCAATAAAATAGGATGGACTGTCTCTCTCTTGAGTTCAGGAAACTGTAAAAGTAAAAGTACTAACCTGAGTGGTCAGTTTAGGAACTTGAACTACAGCAATCATTTTCTTGATAGTGGGAACAGAAAACGAGACTCCGCTTTCTGAACAGAACTGAAAAGTGGTTAGACGGCGAGAAACCCATTCCCTGGACACATTTGCCTTTTGAACTTTTTCTTTTCCTATGGACTGCACCAAAAATTTCTTAAGAGTCAGCGGAAGGGTAGAATTTTTAAAAGAAAAAACTTTATGATAAAGTCTTAGAAGTAAGGCAAGGCTGCAGTCCTACCGTGTTCGTGTTTGGGAGACAGTTGGAGGATGAGCATGCTTCTGCCCTTGCATCAGGGTCTGGGGGCCATGATCGATTTCTGCGGGGAACTCAGTTTCCTGGCCACAGTCAAACAAAGGCAGATCTCGTGTGTTTTGGACGTTGCA